CACAACATGTTCCAAATGCTTTGGATACCCCCATCTTGCTTCGCCAATGCACTAGGGCACCTCTGGCTTGCTTGTCACTGGCGTACTCAATTGCCCCCCCCCCCCAGTATACACCCTGTTCTATGGATTTCAAAGCATGCCCATCCGCTAAGTACACATGATCATGGTTGCGCACTTTCATCACCACTGTTTTCTTCCAGATGAGTCCGAGCCCACAGATGTCGCCCTCATGTATGGCCAAATCTAATCCGATTTTAAATTCACCGGGCTTGCACTCAGAACAGCGGTGTCGCCCACGCAAAGCAAACCACCATAGACCACGCACTCCGTATTCTCAAAACCGCTTGCCATTCGCTTGGTAGAGTTTGTCTACTTCGATCCTCATGCTTGCACGCACAAGTCTGATGAACAAGTACGTCGATAAAATGGCATGATTCGCGATGTCTGCTTGCTGCGTCCTCAAAGTTGAGTCGCCGCCCGGGTCTTTTTCAGTAGAAGTCCCTTCAAACTGTTTTTGCTCTCATAATTTTTGACAGGTGGCAAGGAATACCAAATCTTTGCAAGAACTAGAAGCGTAGCCTCGTGTTTGATGCGGTACAAATCCTGTCGTCAGGTCCAGTAAGATAGCGAGTACACCAGGTTCTTCTGCAGCGTACGCGGCGCCGAAGATGCGGCGCGATCTTGTGATGCCCTCGATTGTGCTGCGTGTTGGCCTGATGCCGAGTTGCGTTGTGGGGATGCGGTCTTCTGCCCCTCCATGTTGACATGTTTCTTTAGCGTCCAAGCACCTAATTTTTATCTTGCTACTGAAGCAATGGGCTAATGATTATCTGGCAACCTGGCACCTCTCTTCTTGTACCATGTTACAACGTTCGCTCTCTTCCACTCTGCTGTTCTACGTTTATGTTTCCAGCGCTCCGCGAGAATATCAAGAAGGGATCCGCATGCGCCTTCTGATGCATATAAGAACTTCCCTCACGCTAGACATATACCATGTGGACCCGCTGCTTTTGAAACCGAACATATTTTTAATGCGCGCATCAGCTTGCCTATTGAGAACCCCTTCCGTGCTCATAGGCAGAAATGTCCCAAGGGATCTGTTTCTCCCGGCAGTTTGTCTGGGAAGCTGATCTTCCACTCTGCTCACTCCAACAAAACAGCTTGCCAACGTGTTTGGTCGTTAGTCGCTCTCTACGGTGCCACCCTCACTGTTTTTGATGGCAACCCCGCTGTTTCGAAGGTGCAGTCTTTTTCCAGGAGCCCCAGGCCAATGTAGATTCCGTTGGCGACGGAAGAGCGACGGAAGAGCAGGGGAAAAAGGGGCACGTACCCAACAACACTGAGCACGACCTGCACGAAGCAGGCAACCACACGCAGGAGAAGGGGGAGGATGCCCCTGGGGACCCGGTGGCAGCATGTCCGCGATCCGCCGCGCTTCCACCGAGGCCAGACCGCAGGGGATCCAGGGTTCTACTTGAAGCGTTTTCAGCAAGCGGTGGGTAGCTGCACGGGGAATGGTCAGGGGACGGTGGGGAGCAATCCTTGTCCATATTGCATGCTTCTCGAGGTGCAGGCCTGTGCGACAGGCGTCGGGCCGAGCGCGCCGTGCCGAACAGTCCAGGGCGGCCCCGCACGGAGCAGCACCGCCGGGCACGCCGGACTGGCCCCGTGCGGCGACCCCCGCAGCCATTTTGGCCCGAGCCGCCGCGCAGCGGGGCCTCCCGGCTGCGCCCCCCGCCAGCGCCCCCCGCCAGCGAGGGCCGGGCCAGCGGGCGCCCGACTCCCGCCTAGGCGCGGCAGCTGCCGGCGCATGCGGCGGCGGGCGGCGCGGGGCGCCGCCGCGCCCGCGCGCGGCGGCCCCCATGCCGACGCCGGCCGCCGGCCCGGGCGCCGGGCCGCCCGAGGGCGGCGGCCCGTGGGGGCTGCCCGCGGGGGAGCTGGCCGTGCTGCGCCGGCAGCTGCTCCGGGAGCGCGAGCACGGCGGGCCGGCGCCCGCGGCAGGGCCGGCGGCGGGCCGCGGGGGCGCGCTGGAGGCGCTGCTGTCGGCGCGCGGTGGGGAGGGCCTGCCCCACGAGCTCGGCGGCCTGGGTCGCGGCGGGGGCGTGCTGCCGAGGTCGCCGCCCTCGGGGGGGGGCAGCGCCTGGGATCCCAACTGGGCCGAGGAGGCGGCGGCGCCGGCATCCCAGACCACCTTCATGACCAAGGACCGGGGGGGGGGGCGCACGTTTTTTTGACTCGGGCCGTTCTCCGAGAATGCTTCCAGCGACTGGGACTTTCGAGGTCCCACCCACAACCCTGCGGTGGTGAACCGTGCTGCGAGGACATTCGGGATGTCGAGGTCACCGCGCGGTCTGTCACCGCATCGATTTGAGACCCTCACAAGGATGAGCTGGAGCGCATGAGGAGTGAGATACGCGAGCGGGGCCGCATCGCGCAGCGGGAGGATGCGAGGCGGCGCTCGGACATGGAGACGGAGTGCCCGCTGTTCCTCTCGCTCCGCATGCGGCGCATGCTCGAGTTCGTCCTGCAGCTGCCGCCCCGAGGCCTGGACGCGCCCGCGGCCAGCCAGACCTTCGACACGATCTCGCTGGAAGAGGGCGCGGCGCAGGCCATCGCCCAGCTCACCCTTCACAACAACGTCCCGCCGTCGTACGTGCAGTACTTCATCGCGGACGTGTCCAGGGGAGGCAAGGCGGCCAAGGACCTCTACGCAGAGGTCTTGGGCCGCATGCGCGAGCAGCTCAGGCAGGACCCGCCCACGGGGGTGGACTGGTCCTGCCTCCCGGACGGGGCCCTGAGGCCAGTGGTACCCGCCAGGGTGGACATGCAGCCAGGCAGGGCGACGCGGTACGGTGTCGAGGGGCTGAGCAACGGGGAGGTCGTGGTGCAGAGGAATACCCAGGAGCGTGGCCCACCTCGCAGCTGGTTCGGCAACGACGACGACGTCGAGAGCGACGGCTATGTGTTTCGCAGACACATCAGCACTGACCTGCCCATCGGCAAGCACAAGGCAGAAATCTGCGAGCTGATCCGGGACAACCAGATCACCCTCATCCAGGGCGAGACCGGGTGCGGGAAGACCACGCAGGTGCCTCAGTACATCCTCGAGGCTGCGCTCCAGGCCAGGGCGGAGCAGCGCCGTGCGGTGCGCATCGTGGTGACGCAGCCGCGGCGCATCGCCGCGATCACCGTTGCGAAGCGCGTGGCGGAGGAGCTCGGCGAGAAGGTCGGCGAGGGCGTCGTGGGCTACAAGATCCGGGGCACCACGGTGGCCAGCCCCCGCTGCAAGCTCCTCTTCTGCACCACGGGCGTCGTGCTTCGCCGCCTCGCCAACGAGGGCTCCAACTGGATGTTCTCGCCGAAGACGGTGACGCACCTGCTGGTGGACGAGGTGCACGAGCGCGGGGTGGACACCGACTTCATGCTCACCTTCCTCAAGGAGGTGCAGTCCAGGCGGCCAAACCTGCGGGTGGTCCTGATGAGCGCCACCATGGATACGGGGTGCTTCCTGAAGTACTTCACGATGCCAGCCAAGGTGACACAGCTCGATGGCGCCGAAGAGGGCAAGGTGATCAAGCCGTCCCTGGTGGTTTGCCCCGCGTTCTGCCACCCCGTCTCCGAGGTCTATCTGGAGGGGATCACCAGGCGCCTGGGCAAGGACGGCCCCCCCGAAGGCGGTAGCCCGGACGAGCTGAGGCGGAATCCTAACGAGATCTCCGAGCGCGACGGCATCGACTACGATTTGATTGTCCAGGCAATCGAGGAGATGGAGTCCTCCCCAGATGGTGCGTGGACGTTCTGCGCAGCGGGGGCGGCGAAGCCGAAGAGCCCGCAGACCGGCGCGATCCTGGTGTTCCTGCCAGGCCTCGGGGAGATCTCGGAGCTCATCGCGAAGCTGGAGGAGAGCGCCCACGCCCCCAAGTGGTGGCTGCTCCCGCTGCATGCCAACCTGCCCCCAGAGGACCAGCAGACCTGCTTCCTGACCACTCTGCCTGCCGGCTGCACCAGGAAGATCATCTGTGCGACCAACGTCGCCGAGACGTCTGTCACGGTGCCCGACGTCACCTGCGTCATCGACACCTGCAGAGAGAGGCGAAACCACGTGGACCGGCACAGCAACACGCCCACGCTGCGCGAGCAGTGGTGCGCGCTGGACTCCATGAAGCAGAGGCGGGGGCGCGCTGGCCGCGTGCAGCCAGGCGTCTGCTTCCGGGTCGTGCCGGAGAGGCACCTGGAGCGGTTCGAGGCGGTGACCCCGCCAGAGATGCAGCGGGTGCCGCTCGAGAACGTTTACCTGCAGGTGTGCGCCAGCGGGATCGTCGACAGGCCCGCCTTCCTGGCCAAGACCCCGGACCCTCCCGAGGAGGCCGCCGTGCTCTTCGCCGAGGTCGTCGGACGGGGCTAGGACGAGGATATATCCGTTCTTTCCAGAACGCTCTCAGAGCCTTCCGGAACGCTCTGAGAGGGCCGCGGCGCCTGAGACCTCCTCCAGAGCTGCTTGATCGCAGATTTTCTCAACTTATCCTCACTCGATTTCATCCTCGTCCTGGCTTCGCCTGAAAGGTCGCCCTCAAGGAGCTCGGCGCGCTCGACGAGGCCGAGCACGACGGCCTGACGCCGCTGGGGCGCCATCTGGCCGCCCTGCCGTGCCACCCGCGGCTGGGGAAGATCCTGGTGCTCGGCTGCCTGCTGGGGGTGCCGGGGCCATGCCTCAGCATCTCGAGGAAGAGAAAGCGGCATACAGTGGAGGCCCATGCCAAGAAACACCCTGCATGCCTCCAGGGTGCCCTGGGTTTCTTGGGTTTCGATGGTTTTGCGATGGAGAGCGTGACGTTCCCGCACCAAAAAACAGTGGACGTCCTGCGGCCTCAGGGTTGGGTTTCTTGTGCAAGGTTTCATGTGGACTGGCCTCCACTGTAGACATAAACTTTCGACGGCCCGCGCGGATTTCTTGGAGCTGCGCTGGGACCCCCCTGGCGGCGCCTCCAGCGCCGCGCTTGGCGCGCTCCGCGCGCCAGGGAGGGGGGCCCGGCGCAGATCCAAGAAACTCGCGCGGACCGTCGAAAGTTGTATTCTCACGCCGTTGTCTGTGTCTCGAAGCATCTGCGCGGCGATGTCCGTGCGCAACCCCATGATGACCACGCAGGACACGGGCAAGCGGGCGGCGTGGCAGGGCGCGCGGGCGGAGGTCGTGGAGCAGATGCAGGTCCGCAGCGACCACTGCGTCTGGGCCCACATCATGCACGAGTGGAGGTTCGGCGACGTGAAGCAGCGGGACTACTGCAGGAAGCTCGGCCTGTCCTTCGAGCGGATGTGCTCCTCCATGTTCGAGCGCAAGCACCTGTGCGAGTCGCTGGTGCAGGTGGGCCTGCTGCCCAGCAAGTTCCTCGCGAACGAGTGGGAGGAGCAGGAGAGGGTGCCGGACTGGACGCTGGTGCGGGCCGCGGTGGTCGGGGGCCTGTACCCGAACATCATCCATGTCTCGCGGCAGGCGCCCAGGTCGTACCAGAGCATGGGCAGCAGCCCGTCGGACAGGGCGAAGCGGATGCGGTATTCGTTCGTTCAGAAGCATTTCAGTGGTCAGCCTGGTATGGACCAAGAGAAGTCGGTGAACTTGCACCCGAACTCGCTGTGCTTCGGGCAGGATCAGTACCACTGCCCCTGGTTGGCGTATTACAACATGCAGCAGACCACCAAGCTGTACGCCTACGACGTTTCCGAGGTGAATCCTTTCGCCCTGCTGCTTTTCGGAGCGGAGCCAGTCGCCAAGGACATGCTCATAGAGGTCGGGGGCTGGATTCGGTTCGGCTGCCCGGACGCGGAGCGGATCTTCCCTCTCATCAGGGCTGCGAGGAGATGCATCCAGAACGTGTTGGAGCAGAAGCTGGAGGACGTCGGGCACGACATCGCCTCCTCGAAGGAGCTCAAGGTGTGCGTGGAGCTGCTCAAGTCTGACGGCCTGGGGTACCGGAGGCCTTCGCCGCCGCCGGTGCATCGGAGCAGGAAGGCCAAGGAGGAGGGCGAGTTCGACGAGTGGGAGAACGAGGTACAAGAGGGACCAACACACATATACAAGCGGTCGTCAGTTACCAGCAAGATAGTGAACACATGGGAAGTGTGTGGGGGGCGGGAGGAAGGCGAACTTCCTGAGAGCATGGGGAGTCTGCGGGGAATCCTGCACTTGTGCCTGTTTCTCTTTGTGCCCCTGGCCCCCTCTCAGAGGTGAGCTACATGATGCGGAAGGACGTCAAGCGGGGGAGGGGGGGGCAGCATCGGGCGGGGCCAGGACGAGGATCAATCCGTCCCCCAGCGTTGTGGAACGACGCTCTCGCAGCGTTCTGGGACGCTCTGAGAGCCGCCCAGAGCCGCCGGGGCGCCGGAGACCTCCTCCAGAGCCGCCTCAGAGATTCCCGACTTATCCTCTTTCGGTATATCCTCGTCCTGGCTTCGTCTTACAGCACCCCGACGCCCCCAACGCTGGCGCTGAACAGAACAGCCCTGGGGCACTCTTGCGGCACAGAATTTGCCCTGGCCGATTGGTTCCCTGGGTGCGTCTGCGAATCTCGGCGGCGCGCCTGGTGGGGAAGTGAGAAGCCCAGACCCCCTCGGGTCAAGAAGTTAGCCTGGCGAAGGACCCGACCGTACAGTCCCTCGTAGTAAGGATGGGCAACCTTCCCAATGGTACCCTTGCATTCTTGTCTCCTCGGCCCAGCCTTGGCCACTTCCGTTGGCCGCGCCCCGCTCGAAAAGCTTCGAAATGGGCGTCCCAGGGCCCCGTTCCTTTTCTCGCATCCTTACTATACTGGTTGACTGTATGCAGTTGTGAATTCCGTCGTTGTGAGCGGTGTGCGGGACTGGCGGGGTCGCCATGCGGGCGTTGCCATTGGAGCCATGGAGCATCGCGAGGAAAATGAGACGGAGGGGGGCCAGCCACAGGGTCCATTGGGGCCTTCGGTGCAGCGCCCTATGGGGCCACGAAACGTGTGAGAGGATTCGCCGACACGGGGTGTGGAACTGCATGCGGGCGCTGTCAGAAGGGCATTCGGTGAAGCTCCATATTGGGCCACGAAGTGTGTGAGGGGCGTGCCGAAACGGAGGGTGGAACTGCATACGGGCGCTGCCCCTGGGGCATTCGGTAGAGCTCCGTATGAGGCCTCGAAGCGTATGCTGGGTTCGTCCGAATGGAGGGTGGAACCGCATGCGGGCGCTGCCACTGGAGCCTTCGGTGGAGCTCCCTATGCGGCCCCGATTTGAGGGTTTCGCCGAAATGGAGGATGGCACCGCATGCGGGCGCTGCCCCTGGGGCAATCGTTGGAGCTCCCCATGGGGCCGCGAAATGTGCGAGGGGTGCACCGACATGGAGGATGGAACCGAATGCGGGCGCTGCCACTCGTGCCTTCGGTGGAGCTCCCCATGGGGCCGCGAAGTGTGCGAAGGGGTGTGCCGGAATGGGGTGTGGAGCCGCATGCGGGCGTTGCCGCTGGCCTTCGGTGGTGGAGCTCCCAATGCGGCCACGAAAGCGTGTCAGGGTTGCACCGGCATGGGGGTGCCCTTCGGTGGAGCTCCCGATGGGGCCCTGAAATGCGTGAGAGGTCCACCGAACTGGGGTTGATTCGCCTGCGGGCGCTGCCACTGGGGCCTTCGGTGGAACTCCCTATGGGGCCACGAAGCGTGTGAAGGGGGATGTCGAAGCTGATGGTGATGATGGTGATGACGACGGCGATGATGATGATGCTGATGCTGATGATGATGATGATGATGATGGTGGTGGTGATGATGATGATGATGATGATGATGTTGATGATGGTGGTGGCGATGATGACGGCGATGATGATGACTAACATGGTGATTGCGATGATAATGATGAGGATGATGCTGGTGATGAGTGTGGTGGTGTTGATGATGATGATGATGATGATGTTGTTGAGGACGATGATGGAGTGAATGATGGTGATGATGATGCTGATGCTGATGATGATGAAGGTGACGAAGCTGATCGTGGTGATGATAAAAGTCATGATGATGCTGCTGATGGCACTTCTGATGATAATGCTGATGATGCTACTGGTGGTGATGACGATGCTGCTGATGATGATGACGATGCTGATGACGATGACGATGATGATGATGATGCTGATGATGACGACGCATATGCTGATGTTGCTGCCTCTGCTTTTGTTGGGGGACGACGTTGATGATGTTGATGATGATGATGATGTGAATGATAGTGATGATGCTGCTGCTGATGATGATGGTGATGATTGTGATGATGATGCTGCTGGTGCTGCTGATGATGCTGATGCTGATGCTTATGTTAGTGATGATGATGCGAATGATGGTCATGATGCTGCTCATGATGATGGTGGTGATGATGGTGATGATGAGGATGCTGATGATGATGACGCTGATGATGAGTATGAGCATGATGCTGATCAGGACGGTGATTATGAGGGGGAGGAGGAGGAGACGAGGAGAGGAGCGCGGGGCGCTGCCGGTTCAAAACGAGGATCAAATACCAGAGGATGGTTGGGAACAAATGCTACGGGATTTGTTTCGCTATTCTCCGCCTCTGGGGGTCCTACCGAGCCTCGGGACCGTCAACAAAAGACTCGGGATGAAACACCTTTCATGGGTAATGAGACGAGACCTCTGGGGGTCGACGTCATGAAAATATAGCCTGGCGAAAGACCCAAACATTTGCAGCTGTGAATACCGCAACCGTGAGTGTCGTCTTCGGTGGAGCTCCCTATGGGGCCACGAACGCTGTACTGGGTGGGGAGACGCATGCGAACACCGCAACTGGGGCCTTCGGTGGAGCTTCCTATGTGGCCACCACGAAGCGCCGTACTGGGTGGCGCGGGACGCATGCGAACACCGCCCCTGGGGACTTCGGTGGAGCTCCTTATGTGGCCACGACGCGCTGTCCTTGGTGGGGCAGACGCATGCAAGCACCGCCACTGGGGCCTTCGGTGGAGCTCCAATTGGGGCCACGCAGCGCTTTACTGGTTGGGGGAGACGTGTGTGATCACAGCCACTGGGGCATTCGGTGGAGCTCCCTGTGGGGCCCCGTTTTCGGTGGAGCTCCCGATGGGTCCACGAAGCGCCGTAATGGGTAGCGCTGGACGCGTGTGATCACGGCCACTGGGGCCTTCGGTGGGGCTCCCCATGGGGCCACGGAGCTCTGTACTGGCTGGCGCGAGACGTGTGTGATCACAGCCACTGGGGCTTTCGGTGGAGCTCCTTATGAGGCCACGAATCGCCGTACTGGATTGCGCGGGACGCATGCGTGCACAGCCACTAGGGCCTTCGGTGGAGCTCTCCTTGGGGCCACGGGGCGCCGTACTGAGTGGCTCGGGACGCAGACAGTCACAGCCGCTGGGGCCTTGGGTGGGGCTCCCAATGGGGCCACGAAGCGCCGTACTGGCTGGCACGGGACGCATGTGATCACAGCCACTGGGGCTTTCGGTGGAGCTCCCGATGGGTCCACGACGCGCCGTACTGGATTGCGCGGGACGCGTGCGTACACAGCCACTAGGGCCTTCGGTGGAGCTCTCTCTGAGCACTGGGGCCTTCTGTGGAGCTCCCCATTGAGGCAGGAAGCACGCCATACTGGGTGGAAGCTCCCTATGGGGCCACGAGGCGCCGTGTGGCGCGTGACGCATGCGTACACTGCCACTCGGGTTTTCGGTGGAGCTCCTTATGAGGCCACGAGGCGCCGTCGCCGTACTGGGTGCCATGGGGCGCATGTGATCACGGCCATGGAGCGCTCGATGGGGCCACGAAGCGCCGTACGGGGTGCGTGGGGCAGAGGCACGGAGAAGAGGAGGAATGATGGGGAGAAGAACGAGGCGAGGAGACGCGGGGCGCTGTCTCTTCAAACGAGCATCCAGCAGCAGGTTGGCTTGGAATCATGACTTAGGGGGACTGGGAGGGGCGGGCCTTCTCGGAAGACTCAGCAGGCGTCCCCTGGTCTTCTGAGAGCTTCTCTAAGCCTCCCCCGAAGACACCTAAGACTCCTCAGAAGGCCGGAGCGCCTCCGAGAAGCCCCGCCACCTTCCGAGAAGGCCTTCTCCTCACTCCCCCCCTCGCCCGCCGCCGAGCCAGGCGGGTTCGCTTGCAGGGGTGCGTGCTGGGAGGGGGGATCTGGGACAATGCACACGAAGACAACGACGTCCTCGTGGTCCTCCGTGGTCCAGCCGAGTGGCGGGGGGGGGGACTGCGCTCCGGGCCCCACGGCCTCGCCCCTCGCAGGGCTGGCCCGACGATGCCCCTCGTGCGTCCTCCTCGCCGTCGCTGTCGGTTTTGGGCGCCTCGTTGCAGAGGTGTGCCACAGGTGTGCCTGACCGATGGTGTCCCTTGGAGAGTGTTTTTCACCCTCTGTGCCGTGACAGGCGTGATGTCCCCCCCTTCTCCCCCAGAGCCCCCCGAGGTGTGCCATAGGTGTGCCTGACCGATGGTGTCCTTAAGAGAGTGTTTTGTTTACCCCCTGGGCCATGGCAGGCGTGATGTCCCCCCCTCTCCCCCGGCCCCCCCTCCGCCCCTGAACGTACCGTTCCTCCCCGCCGAGTGCGTTCCCAGCACTGCCGCAGAGCGTCTGGCACCACAGTCTGTCACGGCACCGGGCGCGGCGTTACGCTGTGCGTCCCCCGCCCCCCCCCCCCTCCAGCCCTCCCCCCCCGCCGCCCATGACGCCCGTTATCGCGTTATGCGTCCCCCGGCCCCCCCCCCCTCGTTATCCCCCCCCAATATCGCCCGAACGCCCGTTATCGCGCTATGCGTCCCCCGCCCCCCCCCACCCCCATACCGCCCGTGATCGCCGAGGATAAAGAAAACTGCCTGGGAGCTCCATGGGGGCCCAGATATGGCCAGGTGGCCTCCCTGGCAGGCCGCACGAGGCCGAGAAGCTCGAGAAGCTGGGGGCCTCCGCGGGCCTGGGGCCACCTCTGGCAAACCCCAGTGGTGTCCCCCCAAAAACAAATCAGTGAAAAAGACAATGCAACACACATTCGTGCTCTGGTGGTTAAGTTGCCAACGACAGAATCCATCCCAGCACACCGCAATTGCGGATAAGAGTGAGGGGGCGGGCGCGGGCGACGCGGGCGTCGAGCCGGTGGACCTCGTGGCCCTCACCTTCCCTGTCGATGGCGCCCTCCTCCTCCTCCTGCTCCTCCTCCTCCTCCTCCTCCTCTTCCTCGTCCGCGGCCTTTGTCCTCATCGTCGTCGTCGTCGTCGTCGTCGTCCGCCCCCTCCTCCTCCACCTTCTCCTCCCCTTCCTCCTTTTCCTCCTCCTCCTCCTCCTCCTCCTCCTCCTCCTCCTCTTCCTCTTCCTCCTTTTCCTCCTCCTTTTGGAACGAATGCACAAGAAACCCGCCGCAGGGGCCGAAGTTTTGGCTTGTTCAGTAAACGTAGTTTGGGTCGCGGGTGGGTCGCGGGCTCTCCACCTCCACCTGGAAGGAAGTCAAAAACAGCCCGCCGCAGGCGCCGAACATGTTGATTCGTACACTGAGCACGGTTGGGTCGCGGGTGGGTCGCAGGTTCTCCACCAGGAACGAATGCAAAAGAAGCCCGCCGCAGGCGCCGAACATTTTGGTTGAGTCGCGGGGTGGGTCGCGAGTGGGTCGCGGGTGGGTCGCGGTGGGTCGCGGGTGGGTCGCGGGCGCGGCTTGGGTCGCGGGGTGGGTCGCAGGTTCTCCACCTGGTAACCGGTACGAATGCAAAAGAAACCCGTCGCAGGCGCCGAACATTTTGGGTGGGTCGCGGGGTGGGTCGCGAGTAGGTCGCGGGTGGGTCGCGGTGTGTCGCGGGTGGGTCGCCGGTGGGTCGCGGGTGGGTCGCGGGGTGGGTCGCGGGTGGGTCGCGGGTGGGTCGACGGTGGGTCGCGGGTGGGTCGCCAGGGGGGTCTCGGGGTCGGTCGCGGGCGGGTCGCGGGGTGGGTCGCGGGTGGGTCGCGGGTGGGTCGCGAGGTGGGTCGCGAGTGGGTCGAGGGGCGGGTCGAGGGGCGGGTCGCGGGTGGGACAACGACAACAACAAACAACAAACAACAAACAACAAACAACAATCAACAAACAACAAACAACAAACACCAACCTACAACCAACAGACAACAAACAACAAACAACACACAACAAACAACAAACAACAAACAACAATCAACAAACAGCAAACAACAACAACAACAATTACTAGCACGTGGGGACACACCGTTCTCACCAGTGCCAGGGTTTTCATAGGAGGCGGGCAATACCCCCACTTTGTGGGGGGGCCGGTTCAAGCTCTACCAAATTTCCAAACGACTCTTCGCCACCACCCACACCCAGCTTCCCGCCCTATGACGTTCGGACACTTCACTTCGTGGCATGCGGACGACCGTGGCTACTATTCAGGGCCCCGCGGCCGACGACGACGGCGTGCGCGCGCGAAGAAAAAACGAATGTGTCCCGCATGGTATTATTTGACAGGGATGATGGCCCTGGCAGGTGCGCAACCGTTGTTGCAGAAGTTCGAAAAAGTTGCTCGCAAAAGCCCGTTTGACAGAAATGATTAAAAAGTGTTGGGTTTCCTACGAATCCGCAAGAGCGCGCGGGATGAAATTTTGACATTTTTTTTTGAAAAACCATTGGTTTTTTTGATGTTTTTATGTTAAAATCGCTACGAAAACTAAGGTTTTGGAAGGATTTCGTCTTGCGCGCGCGAATGTCCACTTTACCTTATTTTTTGCAAGGGATTCTTGAAGTTTGGTTATGTTAGAACAAGAAATGTCCACTTTAGCTTATTTTTTGCAAGGGAAAACCGATCGTAACAACACAACCGGATCCGGACCAACCCGTTTTGCCTGAGACTTCCTCACGAAAATGATGAAAATGAGGCTGCGGCCTAGGCGCGGCGGGGGGGCCATGCACCAGGGGCCCCAACAATAATTATTCTTTAGAAGTAATAATGTTCAACAACAACAACAACAACAACAACAACAATCATTTTACCCGAACGCGTGGTGTTCTCCCCAGTGCCAGGGTTTTCATACGACACCAGGCAATACCCCCACTTCGTGGGGGGGCATTACAAGCTCTACCAAATATCCAAACGACTCTTCGCGACCACCCAAACCCAGCTTCCCGCCCTATGACGTTGGGACACTTCACTTCGTGGCGTGCGGACGACCGTGGCTACTACACTGGCGTGGGGTACACACCCACAGAACCCAATGGTTTTTGGAGATTTCGGCGTGCGCGCGCGAAGAAAAAACGAATGTGTCCCGCATGGTATTATTTGACAGGGATGATGGCCCTGGCAGGTGCGCAACCGTTGTCGCAGAAGTTCGAAAAAGTTGCTCGCAAAAGCCCGTTTGACAGAAATGTTTAAAAAGTGTTGGGTTTCCTACGAATCCGCAAGAGCGCGCGGGATGAGATTTTGACATTTTTTTGTTGAAAAACCATTGGTTTTTTGATGTTTTTATGTTAAAATCGCTCCGAACACTAAGCTTTTGGAAGGATTTCGTCTTGCGCGCGCGAATGTCCACTTTACCTTATTTTTTGCAAGGGATTCTTGAAATTTGATTATATTAGAACAAGAAATGTCATTTTATAGTGTTTTTTGCAAGGGAAAGCGGATTACAACAAAACAACCGGATCTTGATCAACTCGAATTACCTGAGGCTTCCTCACGAAAATGATGAAAACGTGGCTGCGGCCTAGGCGCGGCGGGGGGGCGCGCACCAGGGGGCCCAACAATAATTATTCTTTAGAATTAATAATGTTCAACAACAACAACAACAGCAGCAGCGGCAGCAACAACAACTACAACAACAACACACCAACAGCAACAACAATCCGCATCGCGGAATTCCACTTCAGCCACGCACCCAGGGGCAGTGAATGACCGTTCGGTTCAGCCCCCCTCATTCTGATATATATATATATATATATATTATATATATATATATATATATATATATATATATATATATATATGTACACACACAGAAGCATTGAACATGTTCGTTAAATCTCGCAAGAAGTGTCGTTGGCCCCTCGCCACCAAGGAGCAGCCTGGCTGTCTCTAAAGGGTTTCGGGCCTCGGTGCTTCGCTCGGTCGCCGTCCCTCTGCCGTCGTGCCCTTCCTCGGGTCCTCGCTCGCTCGTCTCTCGCGGGCCCCTCCCCGCTCGGTCGCTGCGTTGCGGGGAGAGTCAGCGCTTGCCTCTGGGCCACGCCCAAAACAACAGGATCCCCAGGGCCAGTGCTGCATCAGGGCTGAACCTAAACGGTGTTTTTCGTTGTCGTTGTGTTTTCGTTTTCCCTCGCTTTGTCTTTGATTTGCCTTTTACCGCAACACGCAATCGAAGCGAAAACGACCCACGAAAACTCGAAACCACCGTTTAGGTCCAGCCCTGTGCTGCAGCCCGCACAGCTCTCTGACGGTCCTGGGGCCCGGCGAGGGCCCCGTGGGGCCGAGAGCGGCGAAGGGCCGTCCGTCGTGCTCTCTTACGACGCGTGCATGTCTGGGGCGGTTGGGTAATTCGGCGGCGAGCGAGGGGGGAAGTGAAAAGGAGAAGGGCTTCTCAGAAGGCGGTGGGACTTCTCAGAAGTCCTTGCGGCTTCTGAGAAGTTGTTTGTGTCTTCGGGGAAGGCTTAGAAAACTTCTCAGAAGTCCGGGGGACTTCCGAGCCTTCTGAGAAGGCCCCCCCCCTTCTCACTTCCCCCCCTGGCTCGCCGCCTAATAATGGCGATTCCTCGGGCTACTTCGGGGCCGGACTCGAAGCCACGCCCAAAACAAAAGGACAAGGAGCACGAGGACAAGATGCAGGAGGTCTGGTCCGCCGCGAAACGGGCGGCGGCCGGGCAGTGAGCACGCGTCTCCGCGGCGGGCGCGCGCGGGGGCCGCGGGGGCGGATGCCCCAAGGTACGCGGGGAGGCCCATCGCGCGCCCGCCGGGCGCCCAGGGAAAAGAAGCGGCGAGGTCCATCCTCCCTCCTCCTCCCCCTCCTCCTTCTCCTCCTCCTGCTCCTCCTCCTCCTCTTCCTCCTCCTCCTCCATCCTCCTCCATCCTCTTCCTCCTTCTCCTCCTCCTCTTCCTCCTCCTCGTCGTCCTCCTCCTCCTCCTCCTCGTCCTCCTCCTCGTCGTCCTCCTCCTCCTCGTCCTCCTCCTCCTCGTCCTCCTCGTCCTCCTCGTCCTCCTCCTCCTCCTCCTCCTCCTCCTCCTCCTCCTCCTCCTCCTCCTCCGCCCGCCAGGCGCCCCGGCAGAGAGAGGCAGCGAGGGCCCCGGGCCTCCCGGAGGAGCGGCGCAGCAGAGGCGGGGCCGTCTCGCGGACCCTCGCGCGCAAGCTGCCCGCGCAGGGTCGCTCGCACGCTGCCCAGCGTGTGCAGCGTGCCGCGCTGGCAGCCCGCGCAAGCCACGCGCACAAGCGTCTGGAGGTAGGAAAGGGAAAGGGAGAAGGTAGGAAGGGAGCTTAGTGGGCCCTGGAAACGACAGGGCCGTTTTTTTGCCGGTTCCGTTCTGCCGCTTTTGTTGCCGGTTCCGACGCCGTTTTTTTACCGGTTCCGTCGCCGTTTTTTGACCGGTTCCGGCTTCGGTTCCAATCCTGGAACAGTTTTTTTGCCGTTTCCGGTCGCCGTTTTTTTGCCGTTTCCATTTTCACGAGACATTTTTTTTGGAAACGGTGAAAAAACGGCCCTGCCGTTTCCGGGGCCCACAAAGATCTGGAGGTAGGAAAGGGCAATGGTATCAAAGGGGGTGGGGGGGGCCCATTGCTGTGCAGAGGGGGATCTGGCGACGTGACTGATCGCAGACAGCAGCGCCATTTCCACGATTGGCACTGTCCCCCTTGCTGTCGCACCCCTTTTTCCGACCTCCAAGGTAAGGTCGCCATGCCATCTCGCGGAAGGCCCGCTTCTGTTCGTCGCTCAGATGGCGGGTCTGAGAAAAGGGGGAGAGGTTCAGAGGAGGCAGAGGTGTGGGCACCGCTGCCCCTTCATCGTTTCCGCTTCGTCGGGCCTCTTGGAAGGCCCTCGTTGCCACGGCATGCGTTGACTTTAGGCTCGGGGAGGCTCGGGTCAGGGAACCATAATCATGACAGAAGGGGACGCCCGCGCGCGCTCGCAGGGACTGCGCGCATCAGAGCGCGCAGTTGGATCGCGCGAGCAAAGCGCGTTGGCGACAGCGGTTGCTGTTGGTTTGTTTCTTGCTTGTGTGCTGCTTGATGGCCGGGCAGCGCGGAGAGCTCTTCATCGAAGAGCTCTTAGATTGGAGGGTCGATTCCTCCGAGCGCGAGTCCCTTTCTGCGCTCGTGCAGAGAGAGGGACTGGAGTCGGCTGGCGATTTAGCGCATTTGTTTTGCTCGACGGACGAGGCGGAGCAGTGTGGAGTGCCCACGGCCTGGGCCGTGGCTCGGGACGTGGCGCGGGTGACGCCGTGGCTGGTGCCCGCGCATGGCATTTGCGCGGAGGGGCGATTTGGCGGCGCGGCGGCGGCCGCCGCGCCCGCCGTGAGCGCGGGGGCCGCGGCGGGGAAAGGGCGTGGGCCTACCGCCGCGCGCCGCGGTCGGCCGAGACGCTGTGCCGCAGTGGCGACGGAGGCGGCAGAGCGTGAGGGGCGCGTTCAGCTGGCGGTCAGCGCAGTTCGAGTGTCGCTTGAATGGCGCCCGGAAAGCGGCCTCGGGCAGGGGTTGCAGGAGGCGCAGGCCGAGATGCTCGCCGACGTCTCGTCCGCGGCGGTGTTTAGGCTGAGCAATTTCGAATCCGGGACGCTGCGCACGGCCTTGCGCGTGTGGGGGCAGTGGGCCGAGTGGGCGGGCCGGCAAGGGCAGCCGGCGACGAGTCTGGCGCGGCAACCCATGGCAGTCGCCGAGTTCGTGCATAAGCTCTCGATCGCACGGGCGTCCGGCGTCAGGATCTGGAACGCCTTGAAGTGGATGTGCGTACATTTGAAAGCGCCTTTCTGCCTGGACGATGCGTTTCGCCCTGTGCCACGTGATCCAGGCAGTGGAACCGTAGCACCGCCGGCCCAGGCCACTGTCGTCGAACCCGAGATGATTTACCATGTGATCGATTTCCTGGATGGCGCGAGAACGCCTGGGCAAGTCATGCTCGCGGCTGGGATGCTGGCGGTGGTATTCGCGTGGGTGAGGTACACGCACCTGCTGCGCTCTAGGCCTTTAGAGAAGTCTGTTTATTTTTGCTGGTTCCGCGCATCGAGGGGGAAGCAGGGAAAGCGACAGGGGCGACCTTCGTTCGATTGGTGCTTGCCGAGGCGGCTAGGTGGCGCGCGGTCCGCCGCTGACGCCTTGTGGGATGGTTGGCACAAGTTGGCGGCGCGGGAAGATCGAGCAGGAAGGGCTGTGCCGACGGGGCTCGTCTTCGATCCAGTTTCCGGCGCGCCGGTGAAGTTGGGTGCCTTTAACCGATCGCTGAAGGAAGTATTCCGAGGCTCGCTAGCGGACGATTCCCAGTTGGATCTTGTGACTTCGTGCAGTTTGCGCCGGGCTGGGCCTACATGGGCGAGCGCGATACAATGGACTGGGAAGCCCGAGTCATCTCGGGCGGTTGGACGGAGGGGGGAGACAACTCCCGTCGGAACCAGATGCCGATCGTGTATAATGCGCGTCGGCGGCAAGCCGAGATGTGCACGCGCCTGCACATGGCCGGAGTGTTGTCGTGCCTGCGGACCGATCTGGAGGCCCCAGTGCAGTGGGAGCAAGTGCGATGCTGGGCGAGTTCTGCGCCAGGAAAAGTAATGTTGGCCGACCTAGAGAAAGAGGCGCAGCAGCGGGTGGCGGTGTCGACCGTTCGTGAGAAGGCCGCGTTCTTGCCCCCGTCGGTCGTCGAGGAGTTGAGGCGGCAGAAGTTTCTCCGGATAATCGTGGCCCCGCGTGGACAGCGGGTGGGGCGCGGTAAAGCGCCGGGCGCGCCTCCACCCAATTGTCGGGGCCCTGCCGACGGGGGCGCCGCGGGTAAGAGCGGTGAGGGGGGGGGCGGGCGCCGAAGCGCCGGGCGCGCGTGCGCGCGCTGCGCAAACCCTCGCGTCGGGGGCACCGCGTGCAAAGCGGGGGGGGCGCGGTAAAGCGCCGGGCGGTTTGCGTGGGAACGCGTTGCCTGCGCCTGCGAGTCCACGCAGAGCGCCGAAAGTTGCCGGCAAAAACAAGCGACCAGCAGAGGCGGGAGCGCGCGCCAGTCCGGCGTCGGTTGCCATTGCGGGCCGCGCAGGGCGAACCGCGGGTCGATCGCGCGGCCCAGCGGTATTGTGCCCGGGCGTGGGCGGCATTGGAGGCTGTCTCCATCCCCAGGTCCAGGGGAGATGAAGTGTCGGTGCGGCCGGGAGACGCAACCCGTGCAGGCCCGGCCGCGTTCCAAGCGCGGGGAGTTGACTGCGCCGGTCGCGCGGTGACCGCGCTTCCAGGTGACGAGGCAGCGCAGGGCGCGGAGTTGGGTGAATGTGACGTAAAGGGCTCAGATGGCGCGCCAGCGCACTGCGCGCCGCCAGTCAGGCAGGTTGCGGAGGGATCATCCGCGCGCGCGTCGCGAGCCGTGGGCCCGTCGCCCGAGCCGCGGGGCGCGATCGGGTACGTGCAGTCTGAGCCTGGGAGGGCTACCCGGGTAAGGGAGGTTATGGGGCCTCGATATCACGTCGCGATGCCCGTAATTCGTCGCCTCAAAAAGTCCAGAGCCTGGACGGACAGTGAGTTCGGGCCAGTGACGAACCTATGTCAGAATGGATTGAGTGATCTGCAGTGGTTCCCGGCGCTCCCGGAGGGAGCCCTGGTGTGCGCGGCGTGTGAAAAGTTGCGCGGCCGGGCAGCCCCGGCGTGAGGTGGTGACGTCATCGCGGCGGAGACGCGCGGAGTTGCGCGTGGGCCTGCCAGCGAATGCCAACTTAACGGATGCGTATGCGCGCCCCGAGGTGGGCTCGAACGCGGTCCAGAGAGTAGGTTTAGCGGAGCGACACGTGTGGTTCTCGGTATGTCTTTGTCAGTTGACGGCATTGCGCTGCCGGGGCGCGTCGGCGCTCGCGACGCCGCTGCACAATTCAGAGAGCTGGCCGCGAAGTATCAGTTTGATGAGCGCATCGCCACCCACCTGGTCGAAACCGTGGGTCTAGAGACGTTGGTCGATTTCGCGCATGCCGTCACGAGCGAGAACGAGTGGGCGCCGATCCTCGAGCGCGTGCCGGATCTCGAGAGGAGGCTGGGACAGCTGTCCCGCGTGCGCCAGGCGCGGCCTTCGCCTGCGCGGGGGGTGGCCCTGCCTGGCCCGCGCCGCAGTTCGAGCGCGTAGTGCGGCAGGCGTGGAAAGCCGCGTGCGATGCCGCCCGGGAGTCCGAGACCCGGAAGAGGCGCGGCTTGGACGAGAGCGACGATGTCCCATTGCCGTCGCCGCAGCTCGCTGAATTGAGCGAGCAGTTCTTCGCTCGGTATAAGATGGCGTACCCAGCGGAGTGTGAGCCGTCCGAAGCGCTGGTCAGTAAGATCAGCAGGGAGCTGGGCAGGCGCGTCCCATTGCACGCGGAGGGGGTGACCGCGTCGCGCGCGCGGCCCCCCATGGTCGGCAGGCGCCAGGTGACGATGATGAGTGTATGGAAGGTCCGCACGTTGCTGAATGCCGCGAGGGCTGCCAGGAAGCGGCAGCGCATTGGGGATGTCGAATTCGTGTGCGACGAGAAGGAAGATCCGGATCCCGCGAAGGACTTGAAAACCTATATCGCGTTGCACCAGGTTCTCATGGTGGCATACGCGCGCGCTGGGGTGAAGCCGATTGACCCGGCGCCCGGGACGCCAGAGAAGGCGTCTTCGGATACGACGGATTTCGTGCAGATTCCGTTGGATGTCGCGATGGCCTACCATTTCCGTTTGGTCA